TCATTATAGGACGGAGGGAGTATTAGCTATGGGCCGTTTGTGTTGGCTATTCAAAATAACTGTTTGTGGTTTGTTTGGATTGATATATTTACTGATCGTTAAAAATATTTGATTAAAACAAGCTTTTTGAAAATACCTGTTTGGATATTTAAATATTATATTCCCACCGTCCCAAATTATTTGCCACATTTGTATTCCCGAGGTAAAATATCAGGTTTTCAATTCATTTTATTTATATATTGGTATAGAAATAAAAACTAAAATTTACATATAAAAAAACTACATGAAAAGTTCTTCGAAATAAGAGGTGTCATGAATATTTTATTTTATCAAATAACCAATGAAAACGTCGAAATAAACAAAAGTTCCTGCAACTGCTGAAAAAGCAAATGTTGTGAATATTTAGTGACGGAGGGAGTATATATATTAATTATAGCGATTTCTAAGACTGGATGTGATGGTGTAAATTACCTAACCGGGTAAACTATACTAGACCGGGTCTAGGATTGTTTAATTGATTCGGAAAGTAAAAAGGTAAAAACACACAAATGACCGGGAGGATTGTAGGTGGAAACACCTGTAGCCCAATTGATATTATAAATATAGAAGAATACGCGGGAGCTTTTACAAGGGAGTTTAGAGAGAATCAATTCGGATCCCCACTTCTAAGGGTTACAGCAGTATTTATACTAAGGTTCAGGGAACAAAGTGTCGTGCACCCACGTTGAGGCACGTTCTTGGATGGTGGGAGGTGATGGCCCTCGTCTTTTAGCAGTCTTGTCGCCTAGTGAGGAAGATTGCTCTCTTGTCCTGTAGCACTTTGGATGGATTGTTCAAGTATCTCCAGCGAATCTCCAGCGATCCTCTGCAGATCTTGGTCGCTACGGTCCAATCTTCCTTGGATTCTTCTCTGCCGACACTTTCCAACCCTAGAAACTACACCGGGTAATTTTCGAGGGATAAGTTTACCGCATTTAGGGAATGAACGGGGCAATAAACTAGTTCGACCGGTATACCATCTCGAAATGTACCAGTCAACGTTTTAGTTAATCGAGCATCGCTTTACTGACGATTAAGCTAAGGTCTCCCTTTCAAGTACAATCTCCTTGACCAGACAACTATTTGGTTCTCTCTTTTGACTGGTCCTGGGTGGAATACACCCATCAATAAGCCATCCACTTCTCGGTCATGAAAATTGTCCTGAGCGGGAAGTAAAAATCTGAAACAGGACGCCAAATTTGAATTTTATGCTCTTCCCGCCTTAAAATTTCAAAATTTGAATTTGAACATTAAGGAACTCGCCACGTGTCGAACACCAGCCGCTGCAACGGTTATTTGTCCACCCGCAGTTTCGCCTGCCCCAGCATCATCATTGTGCCGCGTGACGCGGCGCAACCTCTAGAAGTCACGTCGCCTATTTTGGCTTCCCTCCTCGTATATAAGGACCTTCAACCTCCTTCACTTCTCACTTTTCGCACTTTAAGTTCCAGAGCTCCGACCGGTCAAGTCTTCTTCTCTTGCCTTTCAGCCCTCCGAGTCAAGTAAGCTCCCCTCCTTTTCTTTAAATTCTTTCCCGGTTATGTCTTCCTTAGGTAGCCATAGGATTTCATCCTCAGATGACTGGACTCCACCTCCTCTTCTTTGACCGGGATCCGTTCCTCCGATTCCGTACCCGGTCAAATTCCCAATCCTTCTGTCCCCGAGCCGGAGCCTGTCAATCAAGTGCCCAGTCAAGTTTTCGTGGAGAGGGATAAACCGGTTGATAACAAACCGGGTCCCTATGAACCAGACAACGAGTCCTGGGAGGAGTGGGAAGAGCGGCTTCGCACTGCCGGTTACTTTCCACTCCCCACTTATTATGTTCTCGACATTCCCTCCCACGTATCCAAAATCGCTCTTAATAAAGTTCGTAGAAGGCTCCTAGATGGGTACGTCCTTCAGTACGAACATGATTGGCCCAATATAGTTGAACCCCACCGAGAGAATAAGATAGGTTTCCACATTGTTTCTCTGGATGGGGGCATCGTTTTACCCCTTCGCCCCCTCCTAACCGAAGTCTGTCACGCGTTTAGGATTTTGCCCGGCGAGTTAACTCCTAATGCGCACCGTTATCTGCATTCCTTTGTAAATATTTATTCTCACCTCCGCATTGAGCCTTCCCTCCGTCTTTTCCTTTTTTGCTTTGAGGTTTTACCGAGTGGAACAGGCTGCGAAGGTTTCGTCTATTTCAAAGGGCGAATCGGTAGGAAATTTATTTCTGATGTCACCCAAAGTAACCGGGGATGGAAGGAAAAATTTGTTTTTATTGATTTTCCCCCGTTCGTCATCCCCCTGGCCGGTCTAAAGTGGAACGATCATCTCCTCAACCAAGAGTATGTCGTGTCGGCTTCCTCCCCTGATCTTGAAGCGAGCCTCGAGATTCTCCTTCGCGGTGATCCGTTCACTGGGAGGAAATTTCACTACGGGAGCTGGGTTTGGAGGATCGAACCGGGTGGTGAGGGTACCTCCCAAGCCCATGAAGCAGCGGGGCACGGGGTACCCTCCTTGGGCAACACTGCAGAGGATGAAGGCCAAACCCACCCAGGTATTTTCGATTCATCTTGTACCTTTTTCCCTTGACCGGTGTCGTTTCCTATACTTAGTGATTTTTGTTTGTTTTTTGCAGACATGGAGTTCGAGGAGTTCGCCATCCCTGACGATCAACCAGCGGGAGAAACCAGGGGCTCTCAAACTACCTCTTCCAAAACTTTCCTGGTCAATCAAGAGACCGTGGAAATGTTTGACGAGGATGACCCCCAAGACACCCGGTCGAAGGGGAAGAGCTCTCCCAAGGGCAAGGAGAAAACTGGTCGGCGGACGAAGAAGGTGGCCACTATGCACCCCTCCTATGCCAAGAAGAGGGCGAGGTCGGATTCAGATACGGCTTCCCAATCTGTTGAGGAAGCCTTCATCAACCTCGGCCTGAGGCTGAGGGAGGTAAGTCGAACTTCCCTCCCGGATAATTTCATCTCTACCTCTCATAAAACTCTAACCGGTGTTTTGTGTATGGTGCAAGCTGGGGAGATCGGGCCGCTCATGGTGGACCGGTTGGGGATGGGCTCTCCTTCCGAAGCCGCCCGGCCGAAGAAGGAGAAGGAAGAGATGGCCCTTATCCTGAAGAGCTAGACGGATGAGCTGACCAGGCTATCTGGGATGGCCGGGTCTATGAAGGCTGAAATCTCCCAGCTGAAGGAGGAGAATGGCCGGTTGATGGACGAGGTATCTGAAGCCAAGAGGGAGATAGCAGAGAAGGAAGAAAACTTGCCTGGGCGTGCAGCTGCCTGGGTGGAAGAGAACAAAGTCGATGCTTCCCGGGTGATGACGACGATGCCGGAGGCCACCATGGAGTCCTTCAAACTTCTATACCAGGAGCCTGAAGGAAGGAAGATGATCACCGCCATTGGATCTTTTGGATTCAAGAGCGGTCAAAAGAAGGACCGGATCGCCTCCCACCGGATCTTGCTAAAAAGAGATCCGGACTTCAGTGCTCCCTACTACGGCCTGGCCCCCAACTCCCCCTTTCCCCTTGAGTAAAACTTCCCGGCTGCGCCCGGTAGTCTTGTAATATTTAAAACATCTCCATTTGCCCGAGTATGCCCGGTGTGTTTGTAAACATTTGACATTCAACTTTTTACTTTCGAATGCCATGTTTGATTTTACACCCGGTCGTCTTTGCTCCTTCGAATGCTCCTTTGTTTGATATTCTGCTAAAGTCCCTTAGGATGTCTGCATAGGAACTTTGACCGGCACAAAATGCAACCACTTCTTTGAATCTTGAATCTGATTAACTTCTGCCGGTAAAACTTTTGCTTTTACTTTTGAATATCTACCTTTTTGATGAGTTGTCGGTAGAACTTCAACTTGACCGCTTTTGAATATCTTCCTTGTGATGATCTACTTGAATGTGATCAAATTCAGTTTAATCGGTAGGTCCCCTCTTCATGATCTTACCGGTTAGCTGATTTGCCTTGAAGAACTTTCGAAGTTCTGTTGTGTAAATACCCAACTAGGGTATTCGTTTTTTTGTTTACCGGTAGGTTGTAGGTGGAGACATCTGTAACCTAGTAAATTCTTGAAGTATCCTTAACTGGTAAGGATACTAGAGATTTAACCATGTCGAATGGTTTCGAACCCTCCCTAAGGTTCAAATGCACCCTTCTTCCAGGGCCCCCTCTTCCGGGTGATTACATCTTTTAATGGCCCTTTGATTTCTACTATCCCTGGAAGGCCTTAGCTCACCCTCCCGTTCAAGTCTTCCCTGAGAAAGGGGAATCCGAACCAGTCGGAATAGGATGCATCACGGTGGATGATCCTCTTCTATTTATTTTAATGGGCATCTTTTAGTCATGGAAAGGATTTCACATCAAACATTATTCTCAAAAAGTCATCCCCACTAAATTTTTTTCACTTGGGTTTTGTTGTAGAAAAACAATAAAGAAGAATGTGTTGTCTAGCTTGCATGGGAGATAATTATCATGAGCAAACACATTTTTTAATGGCAAAAACACCATCTTCTTTGATTTGGTTTTCGAAATGGGTTTTTTCCCGTTTTTTTAGATGAGCATGTATCCTTGTCCCATGTAAACAATGAAGAAGATTTTGAGTGTTATTTATAGTAAATCATCAATAGTTAACACTGATATATTGCAATGAAGAATAAGAAAAAATAGTTAGCATACATGTCCATCATGGAAGACAACTTCCATGGAATCACCTCCTATTAGCCAAGCTGGAATAGAATAGACACAAATTGTACATAATTTATATTGTGACTGTTGTAGATTTCGTTGAGCATGTTCCACATGCTTGTTTTTTCTAGGACAGAATGCAGAAGAACTTTGAAGTTGGGGTTATGTTTTGGAAGACTTCAAATTGTTTTTTTTACGGCTGAAAGACTTCAAACTTGATGCTCTATATATGGTGTAGTAATTAGCTTTCTCTGGCATGGTCATTAATAAGAATTGTTGCACGCGCCTCTACAAAGGCAAACAAAGAGATTTGTTGAATCTGCTTAATAGATGTTGATTGAACTTAATGGAGATTTCTTTTACGGTTGGCGTGTGCCTCCATAGTTTATGGACATTTGTTGTGCACACATACTCCCAATTAGTAGTGACCTGACCCATTTATTTGGGAAGGAACACGTTCATTTTGTCCTCACCATTGTATGTATAAAGATTAGATTGATGTTTGTCCTTATGATTTCATTATTTTCGAAGGAAAAATGTTAGGAGTATTTAAGAAAGTGTACCTCAAATGAACTCCACTACATCTCCACCATACAATCTAAAATATTGATAAAAAATTTAAAATTAAATAATGATTAGAAGGTAAGGTACATACCCCAAACATGGATCTTTTTGAAGACACAATATTGAAGGTGGAACTTGGAAGGGAGGTGGGGGGAGGTAATATAATAAGTGCACCACTCACTAAGTTTGGGGACCATAAGTTCTTTATAGAAAGCTTTGCTTTAGCAGTTTTGCTGATGGTTTCCTAAAGTTTTAGGGTAGAACTTTCCGGATTTATCGTAAAACTTAGGTCATACGGAATACCCGGCCAAGTTAGCTGTTTCTCTTATTAAGGGATTGCAATGGATTTACACTCCTATGAAGATTGGGGTCCTAGCGTATATCTAGCCATAGTAATATACGGTTCCCAAGGGAAACTTTTCGCTTTGAATCAAGGGTGGCAAGACATCGGAGAAAGAGCGTTTGAGTGAGGGAGAGAAGGGATGGGTAACTGTGCATCCGACGTGAAAGGAGGCAAGCAGGCGGTAGGAGGCGGCGGCGATGGAGGCCACCACCTGGCCCAGGCCCTCGGCGGCGGTGGAGGTGAGGGCAAAAACGACGCAGTAGGTTTTTTCTTCCGGTCCAAGGGAATGCGCCCTCTAGGCTGCCAGATTGAGGTATGTCAATTTGTTGATGGCTTACAGCTTACTTTACATGATAATGATTGTTTAATTTAGGGTTTAGTCATCAGAAGAATTCAAACTTAGCCGCTATTTGTATCTAATAACAATAACAATAAAAACAAATCAAACCATTCACAACACATTTTTGTTTGTTGATGATGGAATGCAGCTATCTCTATCAGCCTCAAACCTTCTTGATCGTGACATCATGTCTAAGGTATGCTCCTATTTTGTTTCATAGATTCAATTCTTGTATGTACTCACACTAATTATTATTATTATTATTACTATAAGTTATAAAAATTATTATTACTACTACTACTATTATGGAGTATTTATTTATTTATCTAAAATTCTTTCTGGAAATTATTGTAATCTGTACTCACAAGAAAGAAAACAAAATGCTATGAAGGCCCTGCATTTGTGGCTTGAATACTGAAATCTTAGTTCTATTCCTTTAATTGCAGAGTGATCCCATGGCGGTAGTTTATTTAAAGAAAAGGGATGGGACCCTTCTAGAAGTTGGGCGTACTGAAGTGATAATGAACAGTTTGAATCCTGCTTGGATTCAGAAAATTAATATGATGTACCAGTTCGAGATTGTTCAACCATTGATGTAGGTTTTTTTTTAATATAAGTGTAGGTCTTATTTAAGAAAAAATGCTCTCTATCTTGGAAAAGGTGCATGCCATGTCTAACAAGACACATCTCTCTCCTCTTTGAAATACATTCTGAAAGATGTCACAACTCGTACCATGTGTTTTTGTAATATTTGCACATGTTAAATTTGTCAAAGTGGCATCACCTTTGTTGAGTTCACAATTCACATAACTGTAATGTACTCTGAATTCAGCATGTAGATGTTTAAAATAGAGTTCTGTTACTCCATGAGTGGCGCACTCCATTTTTTATCTTCACATATTTGACTTGTATCCACTATGGGAATACTGCTTTTTTTTGTTTTATTCAAGGCCAACTACAGCCAAAATATGGATACATATTATGACTCAATGAGAGATTCCAAAGCATTTTCAAATCATGGAATTAGATTGTGTTTTCCTCTTCATATTTGTTTATTTATTTATTTATTCATATTCATTTTTATTTTCAGATTTCATATCTACGATGTGGACTCAAAGTACCACAATTTACCTGTGAAGGTATATCATCTTGCCCAATATCTTGCTCTGTAAAATTGCATCCTTATTTTCAGTAAGAACCATTCAAAAGAAGTATGATAGCTAATGCAGTTCTCAGAATGAGGGCATGGTTTCGCTTTGAGTATGAGATGGTAATGAAGCTCTTAAAACTTAATGTAAGAAGTAAGAACATAAGTATGGTAATTGATTCACGGAATGATTATATATGTAATAGGAATAACATTTAACTGATACTGGATTATAGAAAGAATACCATATGCATTATATTTCATTGTTTGCTGTGAAACATTTTATTTCTTTCAATGTTTTAACAAAATAGAAAAGATCTTTCAGCCTCATTAATCCAAAAGTCTAATCTCTTAATCCACCGATGACGGAACACAATAATATGGTTCCAACCTCACCACTTATCATTTATGTGTCCTATAAGTGGGATTAGGCAGAAAATAACCAAAGGGGAAAAATCTAAACTTCCAAAGCAGGAAGTAGATGGATTTTGTTCCAAGCATTTCCAACGTGGTATGCGATTAAACAATTTTTATTCCATTAAATTTACCCTATCAGGCAATTCAAAAGGGATATAAATATTTCATCAAGGGAAGGTATGCATCAATCTTTCCTTTCTCAAAATTAACTACATTCAAGATACTAAAAATGGGGGAAACATAAGAGTAACAATCCAGAAATTTGAAAATGCTTGAATTGGAACGATTCTAGATACAGCATACTGGTGTTCTGATTTTATGGTTATCATTATTCTACAGAGTCCCTGAAACTATAAAATTTTTATTATAAGTTAAGCTGTTATGCCATTGGTGTTGCAGACGCTAAAGTTGAAGGATCAAGATTTCCTAGGTGAAGCCAATTGTGTTCTCTCTGAGGTTAGTTGCTTGAGTAGCAAAAAGGGAACTGTTGTCTTATGCATTGTACTATTCTTAGCATCATAGTTATCAAGGCGTCGCTTAGGCGTCTGGGCGAGGCTTTGTGGATGCCTAATTGGTCGCCTAGCTGTTTTTCCTGGGCGACTCAGTGACTATCTCGGAGAGGCATCTACGTTTTAGAAGCAGCGCAAGGGAACGCGCGAGATAGAAAGAGAAGACGGAGGAAGAGATAGAATGAAGACTTATCTTTCTCGCAATCTTCCAGCGGCTCTGCAGCGGCTCCAGTCTGTGTCTTTCTATCTCTCTATCATTTAGACTAGTGGACTAGGTCAAATAACTGGGCTAGGTTCATTAAAAGACTATTGGACCTTTACACAAGAGTACAAGGCCCAAAATTTAATATGCCTTTTAAAAGCTTCCTTAATTGGAGTAGGCTTGTATGTATGTATGTATGTATGTATGTATGTATGTATGTATGTATGTATGTATGTATGTATGTATGTATGTATGTATGTATGTATGTATGTATGTATGTATGTATGTATGTATGTATGTATGTATGTATTTATGTATGTATGTATGTATGTATGTATGTAAG